TTTTGAACGAAACCGCAAATTAATTTTAATTTATACCGGTATCGACGATTAAAACTCTGACCAGTGATATGCAAATAAGGGTACTATACATGTCGAACGAACATATTACAACAGGTGTATTATTGACTGGGGTTGCACAATCGTTAGTAGGGGACAAGATTATGAAATATTATCCAGAGATCGGCTTTGCGCTCTGAAAGTATTGGGTTCGAGTCCTGAAAAAAGGATTCTCTTCATCGTTAATTCTTTTGAACAAGGAAATGACCTCGCACTGCTTTGGTGCAACAAGCTGAGAAATTGACAGCAAGTCGTTGACTTTTGAACAGCTCCGTCGGCATGTTTTGTTGGGTCTACGGCAGAGAGGGCGAGATATTCAGCTATGTTGCCTGCCTTAGGGGTGCAATTCGCTCTGATCCATTTGATACATGACTATCTCATGTGATAATCAGCTCAAGATTTAAAACGTTATTGCATGAGCGAAAATCTGGATGGTCTGCGTTTGCCGTTTGTCTGTTCACTCGCTTTTCATCCTTCTGGGATAGATAGACAGATATCACCTCGTGTGAAAGACGCAGGAAACTACACGCTGTAGTGATAAAGATGTATCACCGAGACAAATCTGTATCCTTAAAAGTATAAGCCAGTGCCGGATTGGTGACACAGTCACAGATATTAGCATCTCGCAATGAACTTCATGAAAGAATGGTGTTCCAGTTGTCGTGGATGCTTTAAGTTAAGCCAAATAATGGACATGAAACAGACTTTCCTTTTCCAAAATAGATCCTGATTTTGGTCGTGACCAAAATGCCTAATCCGATGTCAAAGCGACGAAAGGAAGTGCTTATTCTCCGTAAGTGTGAAGATTTGTCACAGACCTCTATAGCGAGTGGTCAGCAGAGCAACGACTAATAAGAATTTGAGGTAGAACTCTCTACCGCAAATCCTCGCGATGAGAAGGGTTCTCCGACTACAAATTCAGATAGATGGATATGAAGGCAACCGAGTGTTTATGCCAATATGTGGATGACGATTTTTCGTTTTCTTCTGCGGTCTTAAGCCGATTACTTCCACAACTAGATTCTAATGATTCCTAATTTTTTCCTTACCGCCATGTTTGGTCTTACCGACGTGTATAATTCGAGGTTTCAATCAGAATCATAAAATTCTTTTCTCAAAGTGCACGAAATCATTGGGCGGCAGTACACTGGTTTTTAAAGATCGACAAATGGATATGGCAGTAATTCGAAGAACAGCTTGGACGAACACTGTGCTGAGATCATTCTAGCAATTCCTTAAGTACCAAAGTTGTTCAATCAGTGCAGCTTCGGACTCAAAACTGAGAGGTTCAGACTTTCTTTTCTTTATTTTCAGCTGAGTAAATGGCTACCACTCTAGGGAGGGAAACATGAGACTATGCACTCTGTTGGCCACGTAGCTGCTGTCGACTCTGCCTTTAAAATGAAGCAGATGCTATGGAAGTGCAGAAATTGCTTCATCATGAAGACCAGCATTACCAGCTATGTCATAGCTTGTTTCTGTAGCATGGATGAACATTGCTTCAAAGAGAAATAAAGAAAAAGGCATAAGTTGTAAGGGACAAAGAATTCATACGCTGTGTGTTACAGACTGTTTTAGAACTCTTTGCAAAATTTATTGAGTAAACCAGTTCACCAACAGAAATTATTTGTATCTTCTGAATTTCTCTTGCGTATGCATTTTTCAAATTGGAACCCGAAACAATAGCTAAGTCATGCATATTTTCACTGCCGTCCTATGTGCACTTGAAAATTTTCTCCGCCTTCGATTTACCACAAAGCTAGCGCTCTGGAATGCTCGTTTCACGATTAAGTTGCGACATCGAGCATCGGATCACGTTTAATTCTCTATGGAAGATTATTTACCAACTACTGAATCGTGCAATTTCGAACCAGGTTCTTATCCATTGATTTTAATCTGTAAATACAAAAACAGTTTACAGGTTATAACAGTTTAAGTTTAAAAAATGGTTTGTGTTATTTGCTGCATAGTCTGGGTCGCACTTGACGATGAAACTTATTAACTTGCTGAGTCTGCTATCACTTCCAACAAGTTCATCGGGCAATAATTTTTTTTCTAGTTCAGGTACCGAATTGTTTTCTTTAATTATGACAGTAGATGATAAAATACGCATTTTTATTACTTTTATGCACTTCTGAATCTGAACTTCGAATGAAAGCGACTTCGCGGCTTACCTGATCATTCGTACGATCTTGCAGCTGCCTTTTTCCGAAGCTTACTCGAATAACTCCATGCTTTTTTAAATTTATTTATTCATTTTATTTTGTAGGTTTAAGTTGTGCTCTTCTTTTGTTTTTATTCTATGTTTATTTTCAGTTTCGCATCTTTTCGACAAAACACAATTGTTACTAA